ATTGCCCTACCTGTTGAGATAATAAACCTCCCAACTTGAAACGAGATCCGAAGGCTTCAGTTTGTAATTTATACAAAACGTAAGACCTAATCAAGAAACATAGACCTGTTAGTATTAGCTTCATATATTGCGAAAATGCAGGTGAGATTTTGGGGGGAAAGGGAGAAAAGGGGAAAAGAACATACATTTCTTGAGTATCGCTTCTTCTTCGTCGAGGGTGAAGCCGTTCCTCAAGAATTCTTCTTTGATTTCTTCCTCCATGGCGCTGTGAGTTCCGCAGTCCCAATTTAGGGTTTAGTCGGGAAATGGCGGGAAAATGGCGGTGCTTTGGATGGATGATAAATAGAGAAGAGGGGTTGGAGGCTGGACTCGCGGGATCTTTTAATTTCCACTTATACCCCTGACTTTTACGTCTTTTTAAAATTAAAATGAAAATGGGCCAAGTAATTATTCGGAAATACAAATACCAACGAGTAGGGCTGAGCATCGGCTACATCTTATATATTTGTAGGTATCTGATTTATTTTCGTTAAGTATTTTATTTATATTTGTGACAGTTAAATATCAGGTATAAAAAATGCGTACATACTAAATATTGAATAAATAATGGTATATAAGGGTCAATATTTGTATACTTGATACCTAATTGATATACTTAATTTGTATATATGATCCATGTACTTGACTTATATATTTGACATGTATACTTAACTTATGTACCTAATCTATATCCCAGTTATATATTTATAATGCTTCATTAATTAATTATAGGAATATCATTTCCAATTTATACAAAAATTACTTAATTATAAAAGAGTTTATAATATGAGATTGCAGATTTTTAGGACTACATGGAAATCACTTTTCTGTTATAATATAATGATTATATTCTAGTTTTTTATGTTTAATTTGTAATCTAATGCTATGAAATTAAAATGTTTATGTTTTTTTTTTCTTCTAGCAATGAAGATTCAACTAAAAGAAAATCATGTAAATTTTGTTTGTATTTCTTTTGTTATTATATATATAAACTTGCGTATGCATGAGTGTATATACTCACGCATTTTGTTTTATATATGAGCTTGTATTATATGTATGAACTTGTAATTGTATATTAACTTATATATTTTTAGTATAAAATTTAATAAGTATACAAGTATACTTGTGGATATACCTATACATAGCAAGTTGAATAACAGTTATAAATTTTCAATACTCAGGTAATTGTTTGGTACTGAAATCTTGTATTTATCACGGTTCAAGTCAAGTATATGTATGAGCAAATATCTGACCCAGACTTATCCATGCTCACCCCTTTTAGTGTAAAATTTAACAAGTATACATATAGATATACCTGTACCCAACAAGTTAGATAACAAGTATAAATTTTCAATACCCAAGTAAATATTAGGTATTAAAATCTTGTATCCATCATTATTCGAGTTAAGTACAAATATAAACAAATATTGGACCCATCATATCTACCCATACTCACCCTTACGAATGGGCCCTCTTTATATAAATATATATATAAATATATATATATACTATCACTGTTCAAGTCAAGTATATGTATGAGCAAATACTTAACCCAAACCTATCTATGCTCACCCTTTTTAGTGTAAAATTTAACAAGTATACATATAGATATACCTGTACCCAACAAATTGGATAACAAGTATAAATTTTCAATACCCAAGTAAATATTAGGTATTAAAATCTTGTATCCATCATTATTCAAGTTAAGTACAAGTATAAGCAAATACTGGACCCATCATATCTACCCATACTCATCCTTACCAACGGGCCCTCTTTATATATATATATATATACACTATTATTGTTCAAGTCAAGTATATGTATGAACAAATACCTGACCTAGACCTATCCATAGTCATCTTTTTTAGTGTAAAATTTAACATGTATACAAGTATACCTATGGATATATCTACACCCAACAAGTTGGATAACAGGTATAAATTTTCAATATCCAAGTAAATATTAGGTGTTAAAATCTTGTATCCATCATTATTCAAGTTAAGTACAAGTATAAGCAAATATTGGACCTATCATTTCTAACCATACTCACCCCTGCCAACGGCCCTAACCTTACTTCTACTTCTACGAAGGCCTATTTAAAGAAAAACAAACCAACTAACTTGAGTTACAAAGTAACTGCAGTAAAAGTAACCCTAGTTACATTAAACTAACTATGGTTAACTAACCCTAAGATTATTTACAGAGGTAACTGAAGTCGGTCATCTTTATCTTTTGGGAAAGATAAAAAGTAACCGGCTTTTGCGGAACATGTCTCATGACAGTCACTTTGGAGTGAGGCATGCCTATTCCTTCGTCTGACTTATCATCCCTCCATTTGATTTTCGAGATTTTCCCACCCAACTGAGTCAAGATCATCATAAAAGTTTATATCATCTGGCTCATCTGGGTCATCATTGGGAAGGTCGTCACCCAAATCAGCGCCGCGATATTCGTATTGATCTCCATCATTTTTATATTCCTCAGAGTAAATATCTAGTAGCTGAGTGTAGCTTGTCTGAGGTGAGAAGGAAATCTCTCTTTGACTCTGACTGTAGATAAACACATCAGGATCAAGATAAATTTTCTGAATATTGTCCTCGGTAAAGAGGGTGTATCCAGCAGAAAAATCATCTCCCATGACCTGCATGTGGGCCATTGTTCTAGCTCTCCAGTGTCTGAGTTGTTTTGTGAGGGACTGAGTAGTGGATGGCCAGGCCTGAGCGTCTCTGTAGAGAGGCGGTAAACTGCTTCTTCTTCTTAAAATAATTTTGTGCTGTGCCGGAAGCAGATGTCTACCCTTCCATTCAGGGGCCTTGCTCTGAATTAATGCCTCAACATAGTTGGGAGGCATGCTTTCTAAGA